ATATAATGGGATGTACTTTAAAATGTCTGATTTGTGGCGATCAAGCACTTGGTATATAATTCAAGTTTTAATAAATAAATAATTAACCTACGTACTTTTATCTAATAGGCAACAATTTCGGGGTAATGTCGTGTCAAAGTTGCAAACAATTTTTCCGTAGAAATGCCGACAAATATATGGTATACGAAAGTAACTTAACATAATTTTATTTACAAAAGTTTGTAATTATTTTAATAATTAGCATGCTAAATGTAACATGAAAAATAACTGCCTGATCAATGCTATCACCAGAAGATTCTGCATTAAATGTCGACTCGATAAGTGTGTCAAATTGGGAATGAAAAAGGTTTATTAAAAATTTACAAAGCTGACATCAAATGTTATAAACTTTTTTACCGAAACTTTATTACAGGATTACATAATAATAATGAATGAATGCATAACAAAGGGAAAACGGAATCCCATTTTTGATACAAATACAGACTCTTCTACCGGTACAACACATTTGATCACATGTTATACCAATGAGGTTCTCAGCATAACTTTCCCGGACATGGCATCCAATCGCCTACTCATCACTCATTACATCAATGACTACCGCAAAGACATCTCACACTCAAAACCCATAGACCTTTCGGACACAACGCCTAACATTGGTGAACAGGAACAGTCACTTTCAGACATACCTATCCCAACACCACTTATAGACTACGTAAATAGTTTGAATGAATTAGAAGTCAATTGGATACAGGAACTTCTATCAGCGACAAAGGTATACAAAGAGCTATGGGAACAGCCATTCCCTTCAGGGGGTTGGGGTGACTTCGTGCAAGTGATCACTAATAGGTTTGAGAGCTATATTCAGACATCGATACAAATGTGCCTAAAATTGTCGCCGTTTAACGAGTTGTGCCAAAACGATAGGATCTCTCTTATAAAGTACGGCTCCATTGACTTGTTTATACTCAGATCCCTTCCCTTCTATGACACCGACATTAATAACTGGACTTTTACTATGGTTTGTAGTCGCCTACTGTCTACTAATAGTGTACTAATTTTAACATTTATTTATACATTTAAAAGGATAATGAAATAAATGCGAAAGATTTAAGTGAGAGTCTGAAAGATTTGCATTTATTGACTAAAAAGTTTATGATTAGTATTTCCCGGGAATGGGATTCCGATGCCGTGGTTCTCGATTTGGTAATTATTTTTTTAGTAATAATTAACACGTGTTAGGTTAATGTACTGTGTAATAATTTTAATATAAAAATTATATGTTTTTATTTCAGTTAACAGCGATCATACTGTTTAATCCCAATCGACCCAATCTTATGCATAATTACAGTATCAAGTAAGTTATTAATACTTTTATAATAATATTGTAAACTTATAGGACTGATTATAAATTTAATTCTAGGCATCATCAACAAGTATACATGCATTTACTTAAACGTTATTTAGCTATTAAATATAATGATGAATCGGAAACAATATTGAAAGTAATTAAAATCGAGAAACTTTTACACGATTTGCATGTTTTGGGACAACATTATTGGCAAACATTTCATGAATTTGATCCAAAATGCGTGAAACAGGATCTATTGAGAGAGATATTTGACTTGAATTAAGCCGGGCATTATACCGGTAAATATTAAATTCATATCATGTTATATTACATTTTATCATTTACCACCTTAAATATCCTATTTATAAATTATTAGGAAATAACGGTAGGGTAATTTCCTATTGTATATTGATAAATTTTAAATGATTATAAAACTTACTAAAAATAAATGTATTTCGTAAGAATTGCTTCTAGGATATAAATACATGTACTTTTGTCAATATTACCAACTTGTTTTATAATGATAATTCATAATTTATAGTACAAGGCCAAGAAATTAAAAATCCGGTAGAAATTACCTTGTTTGAGTTATCTTTTATTAATTTTAATCTAGAAATAACATGTGTCTATCAGACTGAAAAATTCCATCATGCAATTTGAAACCTATTGCCTATATAATCAATATTTCAATCATTGGCAATTAATTATATTAATTTTAAAGAGATAAGTGAATTAAATGAATTAAATTTTAGTAAATTATAAATAAAGTATTGAGTCTAGTCACTAGACTCCGGTGCATAGACATCAAAAAATTTAAAATCCCCAAATTAGTTATTAATAAACTTATTAACTATTCTAAACACTACTATTTTATGATTTAAAAGTGACTAAAATTTTTTTTGAAATTTCATTTGAGATTTCATTTTGAATAATAATATGAAAATTTATTAAACAACAAAATTAAACATTCAAATGATTAATACAGTAATTTAAGAGATTTTAAACAAGTCTGGTAAGCTTATACTTGTCTGATCATTTCCGATTGAAAAGTACAAATATAATGAACGTGCAAATTGAGTTTTATTTATAATAATTATGAAATATTTTTTATTGATCAAAATTGATCAAAATCCAAACTTTGTTAACTTTTTAGAATTATAAAAATTTTATTGAGTGTTTAGTTTAGTATTTATTTCAAGGATTATCCCAAATGTGGGGTATCAACAAATTCAACCGTACCAGTTGATGAATGCAATTCAAACACTAATATATCATTTTTGCCCGTTTTTAGTAAGGGTGCAGGGATATACAATGTCTGCTGGGGTCCAATGTGGTAATACCGGCCTATATTGAAATCGTTGATAAATACATTTCCCTTCGACCAACCGTCCAGTCGTATGAATGTGTCCTTAGGACTGTCTCTAATATCCAATTCTAACCGATAAACGGCTGGACTTTTGATGCCCTCAACGAAAGGTTTTCCCTTCAATTCAGACAATTGTTTAACAAATGGTTCTTTGAATTCAAGCGGAAATGTCTGGAAATTTGTGGCAACTTTTGCATCGACATCAACGTCTCCATTAAGACCCTTGCGATCGATATTCATATTGGAGCCGATCTTCAGACGTCCCCAGTTTTCAACCATAATATCCAACGTATGAGTCGTTGTGTTTGCAAATTGTGTGTCATTTAAGTCCTGATTATAGTCTTTCTTACCCTCGACGACACCGACCTCTTTATGGTCGACGAGTATGACTCCTCGATCAGAGGCACCACCTAATTATTAACAAGGTTTTATATCAAATGATATAAGCTGTTTTATTGTATTTATAATACCGGTCAGTTTTAAATGCTTAAACTTCTGTAAGTTTGTGAGTCTATAGAGAATGAAACCATAGTTTTGACCATAATATGTGCCAATATTTAATAACTCCATGTGTTGTGGCTTTTCGGTGACGATTGGCTTGATTTTGGTCAACACGTCCTCTAAACTCAAGTAATCTTTAACTTTGAGTTTCCCATAAGATACGGGCGCCACATATGTCGGGGGTTTAGGTATTAATAGCTTAGGTTGAGCCCTCTCTTTATTAAACTTTTCAATCAATTCCTTTGTTTTCCAATACTTATCCGTATAATTGCCTTATTGTAAGAGTTATACAATTGTTAACAATAAATTAAAAAGGTTATATCATACCTGACTCAGATAATGGTGCATTATAGTCATAACTAGTGACCAGACCCTTATCCCCATCGCCGCCATTCATAAACCCAAAGTTAGTTCCGCCGAAAAACATGTAGAAATTGATGGACGCGTTGGCATTGAATACCACATCCGTTACCTCCTTCTCAAACTTCTTGACGTCGTA